GGGGGGGGGGGGGGGGGCAGAGAAGTGGACCATTCTTTTGTGGACACTTGTAGATAATCTGGAGGCTGGCACACGTGTTTAGGCAGCACGAATGAGGATTCACACGCTTTAGGATTTTGTAACCTTTTCTTTTCTGGGAAAACTTTTGGTTTTTTGGTGCGGGGGTCTATGTATGTCCCCAGCCGATTTAATTACTCTTTCCCATTGGTCTCTTTCTTAATTTGTGCGTTTAATTCATTTCTTATTAACACTTTTCCTTTTGAGGTATTTCAGGATTGGAAGCATTCTGAGCTGGCAAAGCAAGAGAGGAGCAGCTTGCGTGAATTATTCGTCGCGGAAATGATGATTCAAACAATGGGATCATATAATTAATAAATCTTAATTTCTAATTAAGAGGAAAGTAAGGAAAATTTGAAACAGTGCTTTAGAGGCAGAATTCGAGGGAACCATAAGCCCTCGAACTTTATATAACTATTTAATGTATGAAATATAGTAATTAAACTGAGGAAAGATAGTAATATTAGAATTTGTAAAAGTGCATTAAAATTGTTTAAGATGGTAAAATTTGAGAGGTAAGTAATTATTTAGACGTAAGAATGTTCACATAGTCGTAAATGTTGACATGCGATGTATAATTATAATAAAGTACCAGGGGTTAAAAACTAAGACGAAAGTGATCTAGGTATTGAGTGGTTGGGCGGCTCAAAGTGTAGGTGGTACAAGGATTATTCAAGGCATAAAGTGGTGAAATTTGAACGTTCTAAGCGCGTACAAAGCCAAGAACGTTACAGAAGGGTTATTATATTTGTATATCATGCTCCTTTACAATAATTATGTAAGTTCGTTTAAATTACAATCATTAATTATGATTAAATAATTTAAGGATATATATTAATTATGATAATTAAGAAAGTTTACAAGTCTATGTAAACACATGTCGTATACTCCACTATTTATTTTGTATTGAATGTGCGGATAAGTTTGTATCGAGTCTTATGAGTTGTGTCAAGGGACTAAATTACGTTAAGATAATAAAAGGGTTGCGTTGTAATATGTGCAAAATTTTGTCGGTTAAGATGAATTAAGAAATTTAAATGGTCGTAACTTTATTACTCTAACTGATCAAAGTTATTTTTTAGTTGAATTATTTGCTTAACAATTTCCTCTAATATTGTTATATATCCAACTAAGCATATTCTTTTCGTAAGTTATGGGTCAGTTAGTTCTTTCATTGTTTGATGGGACAAGTGGGTAATGCGTGTAGTTTAATTACAAACTTTTAGATCGAACTAACTCAATATGTCTTTTGACTCGCAAATGATATTTATGCAGCATAATGTGCTCAAATTTAAGCAGCTAGCTTAAGCGGATTACTTTACATTACATGTGAAGATGGGGCAATATAGCGAAACTAGAAGAGAACTAAATAATAAGAGCCCAATTGGACATAAGAAAATTTTCTTTTTTTTCAATTTTTTTTTTTGAAAACGGCGTTTGGTTATCAAAATTTTTCAATTTTTCCAATCTCACTTAAAAATGCATTTTCAAATTTAAAAAATTGGCGAGGTTGCTAGTTTTTAGTTGCAAAATATATTTAAAAAAAGACATCCAAATATGTTGCAAAAATTATAACAAAACACAATTTCATCTTCAATTCAAATTTTAGTGAAATTCCAAATTTGAATTTTTTTTTTGGAATTCATGTCCAAACGCCTACTAAGTCCAAATGTAGAGGAATATTAGTTGATTTGACCTGGAGCAACTTGGCCAGCTAATAATTTCAAGGGAAAATAATGTTTTTTTAGAATGGCAGAATATTAGGGTGGTGTCATTCATGTTTCGGGGATTTGGCCCTAGTCGTCTTCGAAAGGCTGTATATATTGGCACTTGTTGAAAGTCTTCTATTTAGGAATGGACTAGCAATATGATTCTCGGAATATGCCCATGCCGGGAATATAAATTATTGTCTCTTTGACCAAGTTCATTTAGTTAAAGGTATTTAAGTTTTTTGGTAGTCAAAAGTATCTTTTTTTCAAAGTTAAAGGTGTTTGACCAAGTTTTTAGAAGAAAAAAATTATTTTTGAGTATAACCAGAAGTCGTTTTTGAGAAGCAAAAAAAAACTAGATGTTTTTCAAAAACACTTTTGAGAAAAATATAGTTAGAAACACTTTTAAAAAGTTTGGTCAAACATTAATTGTTGTTCAAAAATATTTATCAAATTAATTAATCAAACACAAACTGTTACGCACAAAAAATCTTTTTTTAGAAAAGTATTTTTCGAAATAAGTTGATTTTAAAAGCTTAGTCAAACACACTATTAATTGACATTAGTTACAAGAAGTTTGTTGAAATTGTGGTAGGGAAAATATAAATAGGACTATCTCTCTTTGATAATATATGTTCGCAGATGAAATGATACACGAATCAACAGAAACACAATCGCCGGTGAGGTTTCTCGATTACTTTGACGGGTTGTTTGGTGTACCCGTATAGGAATTAACGCGAGTGATGCAGAGATTGTAATGTACAAATTATTCTCTTGTCAGACACTTGTTAATTTGATGTTACAAATTAACATGTAGTCACTACTAGAAAATGTGAAAATTAGTATTCAGACTAATTTCCGACTGAAATTAGTATTCAGAAATTTCCGATGGTTTCGGTCGTAAAATATATGAAAAAAATTGTTTATATTTTTTTTAATATTTCTACCATATTGGAAATTTAGTTTTCAGTCGATCCATGAAAGTCAAGTTTTTAATGTTTGACCACTTCTGGACTTTCGATTGAAACGATCGGAAAATTATAAACTATATAATTAATTTTTCGATTCGGTTAGAAATATTTTTAAATTTTTTGTCAGTGCTTTTCCAATCAAAACGTCGGAAATTAAATTATTTTTTTAATTTTACTTTTGTTTCCGGTCGAAAATCTAATTTAAAACCCTCCACCGACCTATTTCTTCTTTTCTCCTTCTTTATCTTTTCTTCCTTTCTTTCTCTTCTCTTTCTCCTCCATCGCCGGCGGTCGTGTTCGAATATCAATTTTTCGGCGGGTATGAATCTCTCTCTCCCTCCTCCCTTTCTCGCGGCTAGCTTTGATATTTTTTAACCCCAACTATTTAATTTTTTTTCGTTTTCAGGCAGCAATTCCAGCATGCGGGCTTTGTTTTTTTCCGGCGAGGTAAGTTTTCCGTTCATCCTTTATTCGCCTTGAATCTTAATATTTTTTTGTTTATTGCAATTCAAGTAGAATCTTAATATATTTGTTCTATGAATCTTAATATATTTGTTTTATATATTATTTGTAACTAGCTAGTTGTTTATTGCAATTCAAGTAGAATCTTAATATATTTGTTCTATATATTATTTGTAACTAGCTATTTATTCTCTATGACTTTTTAACTTATTTATTTAGAGTGGACTAGTAATAGTTAACCTCTAGACATTGAATTTTCTTGATTACTCTTTCTAGTATTATGTACAAGTGAACTATATATACTTGTGTGCTAATTTTATTCTGTATATAGTATTGATCAGGAAACCTACTCCTTAGTAATTAATGATAAAAAATGATGCCCTTGCCTTTATCTGAATTGACATCTTGAGAAGTCATTGTAACTAAAGCTCTAAATATGCAATTGTAAGACTTGCAAACATATGACATATTTTTTAATTATTATGCAATAAGCCAAATGTACATAATATCACCAATCCTAAAAGATTCTTGATTAAACATCACTAGAAGTAGAAAACTTGAGGACAACCCCC